TCAGATTCAAGCAGACGACTTCTTGGAGCCCCGCAGCTTGGGGTTGCTTGCCGCAGCACGCTTCTTCTGCTTGGAGCGCGAAGAGGTAGCGTCACCTCCCTCAATGAACTTGAGCAACTCATCAATGCTGCGCGAGTCCATAGAAGCGTTGGCAGCACCCTTGGCGCCCGAAGCCTCGGGAGCTGTTTGGCCAACCTGGGGTTGGACCTTGGTGCCAAGGCTGGTCACGCGAGGGTTCATGTTGATGCGGCGAAGGCGGCGAGCCTGGATGTCCTTGGCGTGTTTGGCGATGGAAACAGCATTCTGGGTGAGCTGCTCGAGCCAAGTCTCGGCTTCCTTGGTGTTGCGATCGTTGGGTCCAAGCTGGTTCAGGAAGATGTTGTAGGCATCCCGCATCTTGCCAACAGCACCCTTCGAGTCCTGGTCAAGTGCCAGAGCCTGTGCCAACTGGAACAGAATGGTAGCGGTGTTGATGGACTGCTTGCCAAAGAGCGACTCGCATACGGCCAGGGAAGCCTCGAACCACTTCCGGGAATCAGAGTACTGCTTGAGGTGCTGCAGCATCACGGCGGCGTTGTTCATGGTGGTAATAGAGTCAGGGTGGTTGGATCCATAGATAATCTTCCACAGGTCCATGGCGTGCTTGATATAAATGAGGGCAGTCTTGGTGTTTCCGGAAGCGTGCTCGAAAAGACTGAGGTTGAGGTAGGCCAGAATGGTGTCGGCAGAGTCAACACCCAAAGTGCGCTCCGTGACGATCACGGCCTTACGAGCCAGCTCGACAGCCGCTTCCTTCTCGTCCGTCTGGTAGTAAAGCATGGACAGTTGGTGGTACAGCTTGGCAACTTCAGGGTGAAGGATACCGTAGATCTGCTCATGTAGGGACAGAGATTCCAGGATGAGCTCCTGGCCAAGCTGCTTCTGGTTCTGCATCAGAGAGATACGTCCGGCCTCCAATGCCTCCTCGGCAAGGGAGCTCCGAGGGGAGGCGTCCTTGACCAATGGGACCACGTTGACGATATCATCCGGCACAATCGAAACAACAGGCTTCTCCTCAACGACAGCACGGCTAGGGGACTTGGAGTCACCACCCTTCTTCTTTTTCTTCTTGCCCTCGTCTTGCGAAGCACCGTTGGCGCCGTTGGCGACAGGCACCTTGGCTGGAAGCTGAGCCTTGGTGAAGGCGTAGTCGCGAGCACCCAGCTGAAGACCCAGCTTGATGGCAATGTCACGGAGAAGCTGGAGGTGTCTCAGGGAAGCGAACCACTCTGTCTCCAAAGTGTAACGGTATCTCACGGTAACCTGCTTCTCAACCTCGGCCCGCAGAGTCTCTGGCGTGACCTTCTCGAACGAGAAGTCACCCTCGGGATAGATCTCGCGGAGGGAAGCATCAATCTCCGCGCTAGGGTTCGGGTTCACGTCAGCACCCAAGAGGCAGTTCAGCAGATGGGCGACGCAGGACGGGACAAAAGGCGCAGGCACATTGCGCAGATACCGGTTGGCGATGTGCTTGAAGGCACGGGCAATCATCTCCTGAACCAGCAAAGTGGACAGAGCTTCCAGGCGAGAGCCCTTCTCCTTGGAGAGCTGAGCCAGCTTGCCGAGATAGCGGATGTTAATACCACGCTTGTGCAAGAGTTGGCTGAGGGATTGTCCATCCATGGGGAAGCCAACGTCACCATCATGCAAGTCCTGAACCAGCTCGGGAATGACCTTGGAACGCAGGAACTCGCAAGCATCGCGAACCTCCTTTTCGTCCTCGGCCCATTGCTTCTTCTCCTCCTCAGTCTGGGGAACTTGGCCGCTGCAGACATCGGGGTTGAGCGCGAGCTGGAAACCGGAGATATCCACCCGCTCTTGATCAAGAGCCTCTTCGGCCTTCTCCTCGGATTCCTGCTCCTTCGATTCGGTGGCCTCGGAGGACTGCTCCTTGTTGGCAGCTTCCTCTTGGGCCTTGGCGGCACGACGGCGCTCAACTTCAGCCTTGACATACTGGCTCATCTTCGACCTCCAGTACGCTTCAACCAGCTCCAATCGGAGGACTGACATGCGGTGAGGGTAGTCCTCGCTGCCGGGTTCTTCCTGCCACATAACATCAAGAGGAGTCACCCGGTAGAGATCAAGGACATATTTGCGGCCATCGGTGCCCAAAAGACCCTTGGTTTCGACGCTGCCTTCAAGCTCGTGGCGCTTGCCATCCTTGTCCCATACAGGGTGCTTCTTGATGCGGAGCGCCTTGGACATCTTTTCAAAGACGGAGACGAAGTCGGGATGCGTGGCGACGACGTCTTTACCCTCGACACCACCGTAATCAATTTGGTGCTCACCGGGCTCGCGCTGCTTGAAGATACCAGGCACAATGCTCTGACCGACGATACGCTTGCCGAGGTAGTCAACGACAACGGTTCCCGGCGTGAAGAGGCCGTTGATGTCAAGCTGGTTGACGGCCTTAATTCCCAAGACGTCCTTACCAACGGCCACCCGGGCGGCTTCGTCTCCGCCCTCCGACACGAAGGTTCCCACTCCGTCAGCGCCAAAAGAGTAGAAGATATTGTTGTACACGAAGATCTGAGCATCGCGATCCTCAGTGGGGTTCAGAGGAGCGACTTCGCCCCTAGCCACAAGCACGGCACCGCGAGCGGCAGCCTCATTGTAATCAGCGAACAGCTTCGAGGTCAGGCGCTCCCGGAACACACGGTCCTGGACGGTCTCACGGGGCAACTCCCGAGTAGTCTGGAATTCCTCGTTCCAGTCGCGCAGTGTCTCGGCGTTGTCCACACCGGAAACTAGATAACTCTCCTGAGAGCGAGTAATGTCGGCCTGGTGGGTGTTGGGATTGGAAGAAGGAGGGGTAACGAGCCATGGGCTGTTAGGAATAGCATTCTGGAAAGGGAAGGTAGTCAGGAGGTCCTTCTTGTTGTTGGACTCCTGGAGAGCTTCAAAAGCAGAATTGAAGGAGGGCGACAGCTTTGAGATCAGGGTGAGCAGCGAGTGTGCGCTGACTTTCTTCGGCGTGGTTCTGGGGAGAGGATCAAACTTGTGATTCGAGCACTTGTTGACATAGAAGCCAGAAACATGAGAGGTAATCTGGAACTGCTCGCCCTCGTTGGTGGTAACCTGAAGGTAGAGCAGGTGACCCTTCTGCCGAAGGTGGTAAGGAGGAGGGTTCCATGCTGATAGCGAAATCGACTTCACAGTCTTAGGGAGAGGAGCCTCTGCTCTGGGGAGGATGGTCTCCAGAGGGGGAGAAGAGGTGATGTCGTACTTGGACAGAGAGTGCTCCTTCACATCATCGGCAGCGGCTTCGGCGGTAACAGAATCGTGCAGCGACAGACCGGCGTTGAGACCGTGCAGATTGTCGGAACGGTCACCTGCAGCACCAACCAAGTCCCTGATTCTGACCATATGCATCCGAGCTTCCTTTTCCGTGTAAGGATCCTCCACGAGGACAATCTCAGAATCGGCCTTGAGGCCTTCGACCTCAGACAATTCCACAAAGTCATTAATGCGCTTGCCGTTAAATTCGAGGTGGAAGCAAGTGTACTGGAAGGTGCCGGGCAATTCGACGATCGATTGGCGGACATCCTGAACCTGCTCTTGGCTTGACACCTGAAGACGGTAAAACAAAACGGATTAGGACAACCATTCGTGATCTAGTGTGCTTCTATGTCATCACCCACCATAACCTGGATCTTATAAGGCTCATGCGGCAGCTTGACGGAGATCTGGAAAAGGCCTATCACGCTTGACGTTAGCGATGACAATACCAATGCGGAGAACCATTCATCCCGGGTATCGCGGATACGACATACCACCGCTGCTCTCCTCTTCCTGCTGTCCTTCAGCCTGTTCACCATTGGTGGGCTGCTCAACTGGCTGAGCTTCGGGAGTCTCTGCAATAAGAACGGATCCGTTAGTTTCGTCACTAGAGTAGGCGGGTCGAGGCTCCGAAACTGAGCGGTTGAGAAATCCGGAGAATGTCGAGACCAACCTTTCGAGTGCTCCATATCGCCGTTGGTTTGCGCCATTGGGAGAGACGGAAAGATGATTGGAATGAAAGGGGTTATTTAAAGGACGAATTGGTTGCTGGAGCTGTCGCACGACAGCTTGCCTCAAGCTCCGAACGGGGAAAAAAGCGGGAAACCGGACGAAGGGTTTTCTTTTTTTCTACTCCGGGGGTTTAAATGGGAAAGGAAAAAGAAGAAATATAGATATGATACAAAGGGCAATTGAATCCAACGAAACAAACCCCGTACCCCAGACAAAACCGAAAATAAAAAGGACCCAGGTCAGAATAGGGCAACTGCAGTGAGGCAAGTAAATATCACCAGGATAGATGGGAGGAGTTGAAGCTGGAGAAAGCACGGGGAAGAAGAGAAAATTTCGTGGACAACGGAATACCCTCGGAAGTGCTCGGGCTTGACGGACGACGGAGCATCTACGCCCACCAAGACTTCTCCACACCGTCCAAGAACTACAAGAGTGAACTACCTAGAAAGCTCATTCTCTCGGGGAGATGACGATGTATGAATAATAAATCGGATGACAGTAGCAACAGTTGACTACGCATTTGTGCGCATTGCAGGAGAAATCCCGTACTTTAACCTCGAAGGGGATGTTTAGGACTTACTCTCATATTGCAGCTCTATTGTTCTGAACATATTCTGCCTATTCTTCCATGATTCTCTTTGTCTGTGCAGTTATACTTGCAGATGTAGATTTCGATAGGGAGTCTGTGCTCAATATACCCTTTCCGAGTCGCTTGAGGACCTATATTACTTGTAGGGATCCTGATATAGTGTCCATGGAAGACAAGGTGTATATATTTCTCCAGCGGCTACACTCACAAACCACGACAGCACCTAATCTATGTATACTCGTTCATCATCGGTATCTGATACATTATTTCAAGAATTGACTCAAAATATCAATGCTCTGCGTCAACTCACCAGCCACAATTTGATCCGACATCGTCAGCCAACTGGTCTACCCGCAGTGCCGGATGCATCGCCAAGGCGTGGATCTGCTGGTCTCCATCCGATCGCAGAGGCGCACCAGCGTCCAACAGAGAAAAAGACAGACCACGGACCGCAGTCCAGTCCACACCGACGACTCTCTCTTTTGGAACTATCTGTTTATGTTTTAGATGGCCTTTTGCTGTTGGCTTTATTAAAGCTCAGCTCACACTCCTTTGAAGTTTTCTCTCTTTTCGTCTTCATACGTTCTTTTTCTTCCTCTTCCTATACAAACTTTAGTGTTTCCCCCTATTAGTTGTACTGATACTTCGGAATCTGCTACGTCATCTCGCTGACATTGCAGCTGACGGTAAATGTTCGCTTCATCGTCCTGTAGAAGGCCCCGTCTTGAACTCGATCATTATTTTTGTTTTTGTTCTTCGAATGCGCTGTGCGTGAGAGATACTCTCTGAAGATGTTGTGGAATCGAAGCGTTCAACGATCGTTGAGTGCTGCCGCCCGCATGGGCCTGCACAGGCCGGTGAGAGTTCATCAATCGGTCCCCTGCCTCGCTGCGAGGTACTTTTCGCGGACACCTGGGCTGTCGGCGACGAATCCATTGGAGCAAGATAGCCGAGACGATGACCGGGGTCGAGGTCAAGACTCTGATCCCAACTTCAAATCGACCATCCTACGGATGCTGGAGACAGCAGCAACCACGTTCGCTTCCATTGCCGTGCTAGGGTGCGTCTGTCTTTGCTTAAGGTAGAGTTGCACGTAATTCACTAACTAAAGATCATAGCATAGCGGGATACTCCTACCATCAGTATTACAAGTATCTAATCTTGCAGAAGATGGACAACGCTTTCAGTCCTGGTGACCCGGCACTCGAGGTTGCAGGTGTGGAATATGGAAAGCATCATTACCATCACGACGAGCACTGGGTTGTCCGTAATGAGCAGGAGAAACTCAACAGGATCATCCAGGGAAAATCCGGTGGGCACTACTACCTCATCATTGGCGAGAAGGGTACCGGAAAGACCTCCATGCTCCTTGAGGCGATGCGAAAGACCAATGGAGACGGCGTCGCCATGTTTGAAGCGCACGGTGACCTCGAGATCTTCCGAATCAGACTCGGGAAGGCCCTCGACTTTGAGTTCCACGAAGAGTATGTGCCTGCTGCAACCTTATATTCATGAGAGCGATCGCTTACAGAGCTTCTACAGTTACATCGGAAGTCTGTTCAGCATCAGAGGGCCGCGAGATACCACTGCCCTTCTTGACATTGAGCGAGCGTTCAACAAGCTGGAGAAGGTGGCGCTTGCGCGAAGACGTAAGGGAGCAGCTCCTCTGGTCTTAGTAGTGAATAGCACCCACCTGGTGCGAGATGACCATGATGGCCAAGATCTGTTGGAAATGATTCAACAGAGGGCTGAGCAATGGGCAGCCAGCAGCTTGGTAACCACCGGTATGCTTCCAGATATGCTGCCCTTGCGAACTAAGCTGACATTGTGAACGCCAACAGTGTTCAACAGCGATGACTATTGGGTATATGAACGATTGAAGCGATACGCAACGAGAATGGAAGTAATCCCAGTCTCCGATCTTCCGAAAAGCCAGGCAATGGCGGCGCTCAAGAGATATCGTAAGCAGTACTTTGGCGAGGACCTATCAGATCAATCCCTTGAGACCATCTACGATAAGGTCGGCGGGCGATTGTCGTTTTTGAACCGCGTCGCCAAGGCTAGGGATTACATGAAACTCTGTGACAGCATTTGCGAAGCGGAAAAGACATGGTTTCTCAACAAGTGCTGGATCCTCGGTGAGGACATGGACGATGATGTTATGGATCAGCAGAAGTATGCGGTACGTCTACAATCCAAAAATAACAAATCCACCTGGCTTGGCTGACACGAAAACAGTCTGCCGCGATGGTGCTAGCCAAAGCTCTCGTGGACAAAGAAAAGGAGATGGGACAGACTTATGACCCGACAAGGGTCATATACTACCAGAAGTCCCGCTCCATGTAGCTCGCCAGATCATGACCAGAGCCGACTTCATCCAGAGCTACGATCATGAGAACATCTTTACCATTGACTCGCGCGGTATGGTTCGAGCTGATTCTGTCCCTATGCAGAACGCATTCCGGGAAATCTGCTCATGGCCAAACTTCGAGGAGCATCTGGAAGCGACTCTCAAGCGGATTGGAGACATTGAGAGCTTGGGACGTACCCGCGAACTTACCCTTAAGGATCTCTGGGACAAAGGCAAATACCAGATTACTATGCGAGATCCCAAGGGCCGCGAAAGCGGTACTGTTGAGGTCTCAGTCAAGGAACGAGAGGATGAGGATGATGATTGAAGATGATACCACGGTGAATGTGTGTGTATTTTTATTGCTGCTGGATATATATTTCTTTCTGTATGATTATTTATGTCTATGTATATTTACTCTGATGACTTTTAAGTACCCCTCTAGATGTGTCCGATACTCGCTTTCTCCATACCTATGTAACTATTCGCAAGTCTTGATGACACCATTGCGCGATGACATCATCACATGCTCACCGCTCAGCAGCAAAATATCCCAGTTTCCTCCTGCACGTCGCACCCCTCGCCTTAAGTATTCCCCTCAGCGTTGAGCCTTTGCTTCGAATCGCGGAAAACCTGCAATAGTATTTGGCAAAATTATCTTGTTGCTCAAAGATCGGCTGTTTCCGATAGGAAGAAATTATGGCTCCGCGCAGGAGAAGCTCCGTGGTCAAGACCACGCAGGTTGCCCATTCCACGATTGACGCGGCGAGAGCAGCAAGCAAAACTGAAGAATCACAATTGCGCCGGGTCCCCTCTCCGGTGCGATTTTTGTTGGTGGTCTTCAACAGCTTGCTCTTGAGCTCCGTTCTCTTCACCATGACATCCAGTGTCACGCTGGGGGAGTTGGGTCGTGTGAGCAAGCACCTGGAGGCATGGTGGGAGGTGGGTGGGTTGATGTTATGGAAGGCCGTTGAAGTGGGATTGGCTTGGGTTCTTGGATTTGACGGTGAGCTTCCCCTGCGTCGGTCGCAATGCTTTTGTAGATTTAAGCACTGATGGTCCTGTGACACTACAGGCCGTGACGTCTTGTCGTTCACTTTCCTCACTCATCTGCCGACCTACTCTCTATTGTGGTCCTTCTATGGCATCCGACCAACCACCATTCTGGCATCGTATGGCATCACTCTAATTTCCACGGCGATTCCCTTCATTCTTCTCCGCCGCCCCTCCTCCGTCCACAATCTCCGGCAAACCGCGTCGGACGCAGTTCCCAACCGCTCCATCCTGCAAGATCGCCCAACGGCCCTCTACACTTCCGTCGCAGCAACAGCCGTCTACTCCGTGGCGCTGTACTTGAGCTATGCGACCTGGCTCCCAGCTTATCTGGTCGTGCATTTCGAGAATATCCCGGACATCAGACTCGCTAACGCCGGCCCCGCCGGTCTCCCGATTCTATTTCTCACCCTCCTCCCCGCCGGCTGGGCCGCTCGGGATTTCCTTTTCGTCAGCTCCACCGGTGCTTCGAGCTCGGACGCCAGCGTGAAGCCGAAATCTGCAAACGAGGGCGAGTACCTTGTATGCGGGATTTACCGTAAAACGTGGGGAACATTGCCCGCTAAGACAAGGGTTCTTGTTTCGCGCACAGCGCTTCTGGCTAGCATGGTGGTGCTCAACACCGTCTTCCAGGTTGCGGGGACCGTACGGGGGGTTGATGTCCCTGGTGCCACGATGTGGGGTGTCATCTGGGGTGTTGCGACTGTCGCTGTTGGAGGCATTTTCGGTTGGATTGAGGCCGTGGATGGTGTATGATGGGTGGATCGGGATGAATAGATGCCTGTTAGAGGACGGAGTTGAGTCTTGACTTTCTTTGTCATGCTATTCCATTCGATTGTGTCGGGGTCAACTCACGTATCACTTTTTCGTGCTAGGTGTTAGGTTGGTGAATTTGTGATGACTATGAGTGCTTTTGTATCTCTGAGCGTGTTGTGCCTTGATGGTTTGAGTTTGTTTCCGTTCGGTTATCTTCTACTGGATCTCGTCGCTAGCTCGAATTCATGGAACTTCTGTCCAATTATGGTCTATCATTACTCGTGAGATCTATTCCATCATTTCCATGACTGATAATCGCACACAAAACTGTAGAAATCAAGCAAGAAAGCGGAAAACTACCGAAGCTCCGTCGCAGGCAACCCATCCGCAGAGTAGATCTCCCGATGAAACTCCATGCTCTTGCCCGTGGGCATCAACCAGCCAGGATGGAAGACATTAAAGACAACGACAGCAGCAACCATCATCGCACCGTCAAGGGCAATAAAATACCGCTCTGTGGTAATCAGATACCCACTCCAACCCTCAGACAACTCGATAGTCCGATAGATGCTCCGCACATAGATACACACGACGGAGAAGATCATGGCGCCGAAGAGGGGCACAATAGACCCGGTCATGGACTGCAGGAGGCGGCGGCGGAGGGCGCGGCGCACAAAGTCCGCGGCGAGGACGACGAAGACGGTGATGGAGGCCATTTGGAAGACGATGCCTGCGACCATGATGTGCGTGCCAGGCGCGGTGTCGCCGTTGACATCGCTGGTGGCGGCCGAGGCCATCCCGCCGCCGATGGCTTGCACGACGAGCGAGATGACGTCGCAGGTGACGAAGATCCAGAGGTAGAGACTTGGACTGATGATGGAGGATTCGCGGCCGAGCAGGGTGATGAAGCGGCCGAGGAGGACGTAGATGCCTGCTGTGAAGAAGGTGGGTGCTGTCTTTCGTCAGTATGGTTCTGGTGCTTTTTTTTCCTCGGAATCTACTCACCGATAATCAAAGTGGATATCTGCATCAAAAAGGCAGTCATGTTGTAGGGACATTGCGCCGACCATGTGCGAGCAGCCCACCCCAGGACTTCGGCTGTTGGAATTGAACATGTCAGCTCTTGTTGTGCCCTGTTTCCCGCCAAGATCACCTACTCAAACATCCGATACTGAAGACGCAGCACCACCATGTTCGCTTCCAGGCAAATTGCACAGTGTGAACGATCATTGAGAGGCCGAAGAGGGCGCAGAAGACGATTCCGGCGGCCAGAGAAGGCTGATATCCATACGCGGTGTTGATGCCATCGATCAGGGGATGGCAACTGTTCCTCAACTGCTCCCTGAGCTCCGCTGTTACTTGCGGCATTGTGAAGATCTTTGGGTAGGACGCTTGTGATCGTGAGAGCGAAGGAAGAGAGAAAAGGAAAGAGAGGAGGGTAGCTCCAGATGAGATCTTATCAATGAAAAAGAGTGAGACACGTTTCACACGGCAGGATTGTGTAATATTTTAGTTCTATAAAGGTAGAACAAGTAAGAATCCAAAACGCAAAAAGAGTGGCTGAGCTACACGCTGTACGCCCTGCTGATATCCAGCCCTCTCACAGTCCACAAACGAAAGCAAGCCAGAAACGCAAAAAAGAAAAGCTTCAAAAAGCAGGATCAAAGAGCCATGGAACAAGTCATGGTAGCCTTAGGCCTACAAATACTTCCCCCTTGTCATCGAATTTGAGGCACCCATACTGACGTCCCGGTTTGAGAACAGTCGCAGATCGGATTCTCGGATAGAAAGATCTCAAAAATTCGACTGCATTAGGCGCTTCATGATTGTTTGATCATCGACGGAGACAGGCGGGGGCAACCGTCGGGCAAAGGAACAATCTGATTCGATTCCACGATCAGGCCAGGCACCCTCTGTCCAACTGTCTGTCCGACTGTTTCTATGATTCAATCGGCCCGCTTCGCTTGGACGAGCATTGAAACCTATCCATCGGCAAATGTTCACAGCCCTTCAACGCTCCATGTCGGCATCCGTGGAACCCGCTTGGCCAGCCATGAGGGAGTCAAGCAACGTCCGGCTTCTCGCAAGCTCCACTCAATCGGGTTTAGCGGTTGGGCTGGAATTGCTCCGAGATCCGACCTCTGTGATGGACGTGACGTTCGTGAGCTGAAAACTGGCAGCTATTTGATCGTCTCTAAGCGGCCTCTGTTTAACTCAATTTCTGAGACTCGGGTGCGGTTTCCTGTGTCATGATGCATCAGTAGGAAGTTTTGCTCCAATGACATGAGGCCGCGAGCGCCACGGTCACGTTTCAACGGCTGTGGCAGGGGGCGCGGAGCAGCCTGGGTCTCAAGCTGACGAGCCAAGACGAAGCTCTTAACGGCGCGATGTCATGTCCGAATCCGACGGAATTGATACATCTCATGAAAAGCATACAAATAGTCTCTTTCCTGACCAAGCACTGTGGTAATGAGATCTGCGATGCACGATGAGACACGGATCGGTACTAGTCCTGCGGCCTTCATTGGCCTGAGACCGAGAGGCTTGCGGCGGGCTATGGAGCTCCTTAGGCAACAACATACATGACCAGGCGTTTTTGCAAAAGCCAAATTACGATCTTAATGACAATTGATGTACTAAACAACACGAAAGTTCGTCTCTTGGTCTATGGATGACTAGAATCTCATTTCATACACATTCATTCCACCTTTTCAATCAAATGTCGGCATCTCATACATGTCATCGGGATCTGCGCATGGTTAGACTTCAGCCATGGCAATGGTTCAAATGCAGGCAAACTTACCCTTGCGATTCTCGATGATGTACTTCTTCGTCTCCGCAATGTTGTGGTTCAGCTCCGTGTAGAGCTCTTGTTGCCTGATTCGAACGCTCTCGTTCCTCCTCGCCGCTCCCCGAAGGGCAGCCTGTGCCACATGGAAGCGTGATGTCTTGTTCACAAGCATCATATCGAACGGTGTCGTGGTGCTTCCCTCTTCCATGTATCCGTTGATGGTGACTCGCTCCAGGCGGGGTCGTCCGAACAGCAGTCCCTGCAGTTCTGTCGCATACCCGTGATAGTTGAAGTGAATGGGTTTGTCGTATGTAAACAGATTGTCGAATGCCTCCGTTGTGAGAGCATGCGGGTGAGCGCCTTCATTTTCGAGGATCATCAGGTCTGTCACATTAATGACGCGGACACGCAGCTCGGGGCAACGCTTGCGCAGAATGGCCGCCGCACTAATGACTTCAAACATCACCTCGACGCCAATTCCAACAAGTACTACATCCGGATCCAGACCGTTGTCGGTGCTGCAGAATCTCCATACGGATGCGCCGGCTCTGCAGTGGTTCTCTGCCTCTGCGGGTGTCAGATATACCGGAGTTGGCTGCTTCGAACCAACCATGAGATTAATGTAATTCTTTGATTTCAGGCAGTGGTGAAGAGTCGTCAGGAAGGTATTTGCGTCCGGCGGCAAATAAACCCGAGCAGCGGTGGGCTTTAGCTTCAGCACAGCGCCGATGAACGACGGGTTCTGGTGCGAGAAACCATTATGCTCCTGCCTCGTCCATGTGCTCGTCTCGATATAGTTGATACTAGCTACATCGCGGTGCCACATTGTCTCTAGAGCCTAGAAGTCTCTGTCAGTATCCATGTGAGACGAGTCAAACAGAGAGCGCAATACCATCTTGATGAACTTAGCGTATTGCACCATCATGGTGTGGATAATTCCCAGGAAGCTCTCATAAGAGGGGAAAATACCCGTGCGGCCAGTCAAAGTGTAGCCTTGGAGGAAACCCTGGCACATGTGCTCGCTCAGCACTTCAATGACGCGGCCCCTCGAGCATTCGAGAACTGATCCCATTGGAAGTTCCTCCCTGTGCGATCCAGTGCCGCGCTCAACTTGTTGCTCTCGAGTTCATCGGGTGAGAACAGTCGCACGCTGTGAGGATTAAGCTGGAAGACCTCGTCGATGAGCTTCCCGGTTACCTTCATTGCACTTTCTTGACTGCCTTTGTCAACGGCGAACTTTCTCCAATCCGGGAGGTTTGGCGGCACATAAGCCTTGTATGCCTCCACACGTTGACCGAGCTTCTTCGAATCCTCGGAAGGAATTATAGATTTTATCTCGTCGATAATATCTCCGTTTTCCTTGAAAAGCTCATTGGGGCCGTACGACGACAGCCACTCCTCGAGGGCCTGCAATTCCTCCTTGTCCTTCTTCGCTTTGGGAAGAGGAACCTGGTGCGAATGGAACGACCCCTCGATGAACTGACCGTGCAGTTTCTTTGGTCCCGACCATCCCTATCAGTAACAAGGGCAAGCGTTAGCCAGACTGGGCTCTTTGGTAGTCATCATTTACGTAGCGGGCGTACCTTCGGAGTGCGCAAGATCAGCAGCGGCCATCTCGGCTTCAAGATTGGCTTCCCGGACCGCGCTGCTTGCTGGATTTTATGAATTTCGTCGACGGCCCAGGTCATGGAGTGATGGAGATCGGTGTCAATGTCATTTAAATCTTGAACGATGCGGACCTGGTAACCATAGCCAGTGAAGAGAGAGATCAATTCTCTATCATCCATGCAGCCAAAAATCGTGCGCTCGCTAATCTTGAACCCATTCAGGTGCAGGATGGGCAGCACGGCACCAGACTCAGCAGGGTCGATGTATTTAATGGCATGCCACGATCTATCCACGTTGTTAGCGCCAGAGCCAAGTGGCAGCCACCTTTCCCTTGGAAACCTACGTTGCTGTTGGGCCTGATTCTGCTTCACCATCGCCCACTACGCAAGCGACGATGAGATCAGGATTGTCCATGACTGCGCCAAAGGACACTGCAAGGGCGTATCCCAGTTCGCCTCCTTCGTGAATGGCACCAGGCGTTTCAGCGTTGATATGACTGATGGAAGTCAGCTACATCCACCACAACATTTAGACGGTAAACTCTCACCTTGGCAATCCGGCTGTTGTACTGAATGTGGAGATGAGGTTTCGGAGACCCTCGGCGTTTCGTGAGTAGTCAGGATAGAATTTCTCCAGTGAGCCCTCCAGCCAAAGAGAGGCTAGGATGGCTGGCGCGCCATGTCCTGGGCCTACGACATAGAGCATATCGAGGTCGCGCGTTTTGATGAGATAGTTCAAGTGTGAATATACCAAGATCAGCCCGGGGCATGTTCCCCAATGGCCTAAGATAAAGTTAGCGCATGAGTCGGTCTCTATCGGGTCAGTCGCAAGCCGGAGAGGCAGTCAATCTTACCAAGCAATCTGGGCTTGATGTCATCGTGTGTCAGGCTTCTCTTCAACTGCACGTTGTCCTGTAGGAAGATCATCGCTGAGAGACATTAGCAAGGACGCGTAAATGATGTATAAGCAGCTATCTCACCTGCGGCGATGTATGAAGCTGCTCGACGGAACTTAAATAAAGCATCGCAAGCAGGTTGTTCCAGACTCGTCAGGTCCAACTTCACCTGGAGCTGGTCCACTACATCGGGAATGTGGGAAGGCAGTGCCTGGGGATTTGGTGTATCAATGACTTCTCCTGGCATTATTGATGGTTTTCTTCAAATCGAATTGATGTCAGAGTAGTTGTATACAATATCCCTGCCAAGTAATCGTGAGTTCGGTCCAAGCGGGTAACGACCAGACGAACGATCGACAATCTCAGGCCACAAGGAAAAGGAATCCGAATTGCCTTCAAGTAAATGAGTCTGGATCAGATAAACAGATGATGCCACTTTACACAGAGTGCTAAATGCATCGTTGAAGTACCGAAGCAGCCGGTTGAAATACTGGCAAGCAACAACGAAACTCCCGCCAGCACTACGTCACCATGAACCGACCCCTGACATCACCGGGTACAACAACAACAACGGATAGAAAGACAACACAATGGCCGAACAGTGTTCATCTCTGGTGGTCCCATCATAGTGGAGAATCATCCGACCAGGGAATTGGCTCAGTATAATATTCCGCTCTGACCGTCAGCAATCATTCAAGTGACGCTTCGCTATTTGCATTACTCGTTTCCCAACTTCCCCTCACTACCCTCCAGCATGGCACCCAAGACTATCCTCTCCGTCAATGCCGGGTCCTCCTCCGTCAAGATCACTTTCTATACTCTTGAGAATCCTCCAAAGGTCATTGCAAACGCACAGATTTCCGGTATCACTGCTCCTCCGCTGAAACTGAAGTATACGCGGGGCTCAAAGGAGCACAAGGAGGAGCTGGGGGAGCGCCTGTCGACCCCTCAAGATGCATTCAAATTCCTCCTGCAACGCTGCTTCTCTGACCCGGAGTTATCAGAAGTTGCCAGTCCGGAGGATCTAGCATATATCTGTCATCGTGTTGTTCACGGGGGTGACTACAATGAATCAGCGGTAATTACGAACGAGACTTACCACCGGCTGCAAGAGCTCGAGGATCTAGCTCCTTTGTATGTGTAATCTAGGAAAGGAATCGGCAGACAGCGGCTAATGACTTCGATTGCTAACAGACACAATTATTCAGCCCTGGAAATCATTCGCACTTGCAAGCAGGAACTTCCCAATGTCAAAAGCGTCACGTTCTTTGACTCTGCCTTCCACCAGACGATGCCTGAACATGTGAAGACTTACCCTATCAACCAGGAGATTGCCAAGGCAAACGGACTTCGTAAATACGGGTTTCATGGAATCAGTTATTCCTTCATCCTCCGGTCTGTCGCGGAATTTCTCAAGAAGCCGGTCGAGGAGACCAATATCATTGCAATGCATATCGGAAGTGGCGCCTCGGTGTGTGCGATCAAGAATGGCAAATCAGTGGACACAACGTAAGGTGACGAATCTTGACAGTGAAATCATGCATACTGACGGGAATGGTTCAGAATGGGTCTGACTCCTTTGGCTGGATTACCGGGTGCCACACGAAGTGGTAGTATCGATCCATCGTGAGTGCTTCGCTTCGCGGGTTTCAAAGCATCATGACTCATTGTTGTCAGTCTTGTGTTTCATTACACCAACGAAGCAGGAAATCTGAGCCCTGCGAGCACGAAAGACATGCATATCAGCAGGGTGGGTTATTTATCTCTCAGACCTTACAGATGAAAGCTTATGTTGACCGCTACCCAGGCCGAGGAAATCCTTAACAAGCAATCCGGGTGGAAGGCATTGACCGGCACAACCGACTTTTCCAAAATCGCTGTTGAGAACCCTCCATCCCACGCGCACAAGCTTGCTTTCGATATCGTCGTGGACCGCATCCTTGGGTTTGTGGGAAACTACTTCGTCAAATTGGACGGCCAAGTGGACGCGATTGTCTTTGCTGGCGGAATCGGCGAGAAGAGCGCTCTGCTGCGCAAAGCACTTGTTGAGAAGGCTCGGTGTCTGGGAGTGGCAGTGGATGCTGCAGCAAATGAGAAGGGGCCAGCCGAGGACCAAACGGTCCTGGACATCTCGAAGGAGGCCGGGAAAGGACCCCGTGTGCTCGTCTGTCAGACAGACGAACAGGTAAGTCGTTGCCCCTTGACATCCTGTTTGAAAGAGTAGCTAACACGTCTACTTAGTTTGAGATGGCATATAATTGCATTTTGACTTACGATAAATGAGTTCCCTACCTCGGCTTTGTCTTAGCGAAGTTGCTCCAAAACTTAAGTCTATGTTATTTAATGATAATGGTAACGGTGTCGGGTCGACGAAATAGCAACTGGCCTTTATTATGCTTATCTTCCTTGTCTTTTCCATTGGTATTCCGACCATTGTTCATGGTGTCCTGGATGTACATTGTGCTGATCCAGCATGAATGTCTCCGCCACCGAGATATATATTATATAGTGTCCGAGCCATTGCGACACCAGGACCGCCCCATTAAAAAAAAAAACAATAATAAAATAAAATAAATAAAACATAACTCCCAGGTACCAGCGAGGGAATAGTAGAGCAGTTCACGAACCTGTTGCAGCCCAGACTGGATGTCCCATATTCAAAGTCTCCATCGTCCCTCGAATAGCGAGTATCATTAAAGATCCACGACGGACCCACGCTGGGAGTCAAGGTACTTTAGCCAGGCAGGACGAGTCACAGCAGTCCTAATCAATAGATCTTGATATCTATCTGGGTTCCGCGTCCAATGAAATACACACTTAAGCTCAGAATTTGTAATGATCAGCGTGAAACCGACACAATGGATGAGCTCTGATCACCTTGTGCCACAGTCAGTGCGTCTATGCATATGGAGTGTAGTATCTCTGCGGGAGTACGGAATACACGATAGACCGAGTGGCTGTTCCACTAGTCGCTATCATTTTGATGTATCAAAAGTGATCAAGTAGGATTCTCCATAAACAGCTAGGCAATTTCGTAGAAATAGATTGGCAGATCAGGGGTCCCAGCTGCAGGCGGGATCTACACCTTGCATATCGAACTAGACAGTGGCGTCTAGTCCCGACCATCTATGACAAATTAAAGTACTTCTGCACATCAAGATCGAATCTTGCAGATGCACACAGCCTCCCCGATTTGGGCTATCGCCAGGGATCCATATCCTGTCCCCTCTTGACCAGATAACGACTCCGAAGCGCTCCTGAAGGTAAATAGATTGTGGGCAAGTACTGTGGCGGAAGTTTGTCTATATAGTAGTAGATCATGCAAAAAATCCAAAAAATGGTCCCTACGAGGGTCGAACTCGCGACCTTGGCGTTATTAGCACCACGCTCTAACCGACTGAGCTAAAGGACCTTGGTGGGGAAAGGTCCGTCATTTTTACTTCTATGACCAAATCCAGCAATTGGTGTTCGGTTGGCTACCATGCATACGTCAGTTGGAAACCTGTGTGTTTAACAGTGGTCCATCACTACGCATCTCTCCTACGAAACATTCAACTGAGTTCATGTCGCCATGAAACCTTTCTCACTGGCCGCATCGTCACCCACATAAGACACCGGACGACATAAACACCATTGGTGTCAACTGTACTCTCGTCGCATTCGCCGGATGCTAGCGCCGGCCAAGGGTAAAACGCCTCATCCTAGGCAGCTACGAGCGGAAATACGGGTATCATTCACCTCTTATGCAGTGACAATTTTGATTTAGAAGCTAATGGTAGCAACGGAAGCACGGCATTCATATGCTGCGGTGGCTGGACATACTACAGCCATCAAACCACTCCTCGCTCACAGAGCAGATGTCACTGTCACTGAGTCAGGGAGCAGACAGCCATGTCTCTGCTGCAGTGGGATGAGACGACTAATCTCGATGCAAGAGATCGCTTCCAAGGCATGGCCACCCCCCTGTTGTGAGGCTTCTTGAGCCCGGGGCGCGGCTGACATGAGAACCAAACGCGGTCGAACGCCACTCTCTTGTGCTGCTGCCAATGGTCACCAATCCTTCGTGAGTGTGCTCATCGAGATTTGGCAGTGCTGATGCGGACTCCAAAAACAACGATGGTTTCACACCGCTATCATAGGCTGCTCAAATGGTCACGAGGACACCGTTCGATACGTCTTGGGAACGGGCAAAGCACATATTGGCATGTCAGATATTAACAGACCGCTAGCTTGGGGCGCAGCAAACGGACATACCAGCGTTGCTCGGCTACTGCTGGGGAAAGGGGGAATAGTGACTCCGAACATGATGGTGCAATGAAACCGCCATCCTGGGCGGGAACAAACGAACACGACGGCGTGTTTGAGTTGCTACCTATCAATGATGGGGTCAACACTAGTGTCTCTAGAATATTGGGCCACCGCCACTGAATTATTGCGGTCAAAAAATGAACGTGAGTCAGTCGCAAGGGTGCTGTCCAGAGCAAAGCTGGCCAATACATCCAGAGATTAGAATCGGCGATCATTATTGGCGCACTACTTACGCACGAGCTTGCGCGATAACCTCTTCAAAGACGGCTAGTCAGTACTGTCGACTTGCATCTGGCCCTTACATCGGAGAAATAGGTACAGAGAACCCTTCAGCAAGCTGACCCTGCTACATTTGAGGTTTATCGAAAGCCATCAGGGTCGCCTCTGGCTCTTGTAGTCAAAACTCTCGGATCTCTACCAAGAAATAGGTCCCTTAGCTCAGTCGGTTAGAGCGTGGTGCTAATAACGCCAAGGTCGCGAGTTCGACCCTCGTAGGGACCATTTTTTTGGACTTGAATTTTTGACCCTTAGTAGTGAACTATGATGTTATTTGCTGGTAATCCATGAGCTGGAACGGAACTGAGATGGCTCAATCGACGCTTGCCGGTCGCTTTCTACCTACATTACGATTGCCACGATACCCCGATTTTTGTACCTTGTATACTGAAGATATATTCATGATTGAATCTAGAAATTTCAACATCGGTATCTCAACTTATAAACTTTGGTGGAACTCGACTGGTGGCCTAAATTAGATATCGTTTGATTCAATGGCTCTCGGGACTGATGTTCTATGCTTACTCATATAAGCAAAAATTCCGAAACGTTTCAAGGATTAGGTCCTTTAGCTCAGTCGGTTAGAGCGTGGTGCTAATAACGCCAAGGTCGCGAGTTCGACCCTCGTAGGGACCATTTTTTTGCTCCAGCTTCTTTAGGACT